AGGAAGCATTTAGGAACTAGAGGAAAGTTGTATTTTTCAACATTGCTACATCACACCCTGACTGGCTCCTCTCCTCCCCGAAATCCCTCTGCAAGGGGATATCCAGTGGCCGACTAATGGGCTTTGGGTCACCACAATGTATGTATGGATTGTGATGAGTTGTATGAGCCCCTAATAAAACGATTAAAGGGAAAGCAAAACAAAACAGAAGAATCCACCATGTGTGATTAAAAAAAAAAAAAAAGCAGGATTTACCAATGCGTCAAGTACAGAAGAATTAGAAAAAAAAGGAAGAATGGAAACAGGAAACAGGGAGGAAATAGAGTAAATGATGTTACTTTATGGGATGTGCAATCAATGAAACTAAAGAGATATGAATTGTTGACTGGAAAATGATCTGTAAACCTTAACCTAGTTCTTAATTCATAAGAAAATGTTAAAATGGGGACGAAAATGAACTTGAACTTTGTTGGTGCTTTTATAGTATGCTTCAGTAGGTTTCAGGAAGGAAGTTTTTTGTTTGTTTTTCACATCATTTTATTGGGGGCTCTTACAAGCCTTATAACAATCCATACATCAATTGTATAAAGCATATTTATACGTATGTTGCCATCATTATTTTCTAAACATTTACATTCTATTTGAACACTTGGTTCAGCTCCTCTTTTTACTACCCCCTTCCCACCCTCATGACCTCTTGATAAATTATAAATTATTATTTTCATATCTTATACCTACCACTGTCTCCCTTCCCCTGGGGTTTCTCCCCCCAGGAAGGAAGAAGTTTTGAGAGAGTATGATCCAAAAAGATCCATTTGTCAGATGAATTAACAGATGTGAGGGAGGGCGAAAGAACTTTACTTTAGGAAGCAGGATTGGAGGAGTCCCCTTTCATTTTAAGGTCCTGGTGAACTCTTCACTTTTCTCCTCCCCAAGTTGAAACTTCCAATCATCAACTTCTCAGACTATCTCATTCCTTCTCACAAGAGTCCATGAGAATACATTGCTCCTGGTCTTCCCTGCACACCAGTACTCAGCCCTGACTGCACGCTACACAGAATCACCTGGAAAATATAAAACAAACAACCAAACTAGTGCCTTACACCCACCCCCCAGACCAATTCAATTAAAACCTCTAACTTATCTGATCACTGAAGACAAAATGGGTGCATAAGCAAATGTGGTGAAGAAAGCTGATGGTACCCAGCTATCAAAAGATAGAGCGTCTGGGATCTTAAAGGCCTGAAGATAAACAAGTGGCCATCTAGCAACAAAGCCCACATGGAAGAAGCACACCAGCCTGTGCGATCACGAGGTGCTGGTGGAATCAGATATCAGGCATCAAAGACCCAAAACAAAACAAACAAAACGCATATCAGTGGGAATGAGGGGGAGAGCAGAGTGGAGACCCAAAGCCCATCAGTAGTCAGAACGGCCATAAGGAAGAGAAGAGCCAGTCACAGTGTAGTATAGCACCGATGAAACACACAACCTCCCTCTGGTTCAATGGTTCTCAACCTTCCTAATGCCATAACCCTTTAATACAGTTCCTCATGTTGTGACCCCAACCATAACATGATTTTCGTTGCTACTTTATAACTGTAATTTTGCTACTGTTATGAATCCTCATGTAAATATCTGATATGCAGGATGTATTTTCATTGTTACAAATTGAACTTAATTAAAGCAAAGTGATTAATCACAAAAACAAAATGTCATTTATATATTGTGAAATATTTATTTCTAATCATAAATAAATGAAATTTTGTCTTGAAGCATGGTGTAGCATGGGTAACAGTCTTCACGTCGGGTACTCATATGTGGGTGTATCTGCATGTGGGCAGACCTATCCGCCTGGAGACAGATAGAGGAGCGGTGTCTCTCTTCCGAAGACCATTTCTGATGCTCTTAGGCGACCCCTGGGAAAGGGTCTTTCTACCCCCAAAGGAGTCGAGACCCACAGGTTGAGAACCGCTGCTCTAGTTCTTTAATGTGTCCTCCCCTCCGCCCCCCACTGCCATGACCCCAATCCTATTTCACCAATCTGACTAGACTGGAACATGTACCCTAGTACAGATAAGAGCTCAAAACACAGGGCATCCAGAACAGATAAACCCTCAGGACCAATAAGGGGAGCAGCGATACTAGGAGGGTAAAAGGCGGTGGGGAGTGGGGGGGGGGAGGGCGGAGCAGAGGTAGGGAGAACCGATCACAATGATCGATGTATGGCCCCCATCCCAGGACAACGGACAGCAGAAAAGTCAGTGTAGAACATGAAAAAAAAAAGAAAAAAATGAATTTATAAATTATCAATGTGGCATGGGAGTGGGAGGGAGGGTGGGGGAGAGAGGAAGAGGGGAAAATGAGGAGCTGATTCCAGGGGCTCAAGTAGAAAGAAATGTTTTGAAAAAGATGATGACAACATATGTAAAGATGTGTTTGACAAATTGGATATATGGGATGGTGGGTAAGAAATGAGTCCATATCAGGGGCTTAAGTGGGAAGAGAATGCTTTGAAAATGATGATGGCAGCATATGTGCAAATGTGCTTGACACACTGGATGAATGTATGGATTGTGATAAGAGCCCCCAATAAGTTTTTTTTTAATGAATATATGTATGGATTGTGATTAGAGCTTTAAGAGTCCCCAATAAAATAAAAATTAGATGAATAAAAATAAACATTTTTAACGAATAAATAAAAGCTCTTAAGTGTTCGTTGAACTTTCTGATCCACAGCCAGGATGGAGCACCATCTCCAGACACACTAAATTTCTACGTGTGTCCTACGTGTGTTCTACGTGTGTTTCTACGTGTGTTCTACGTGTGCCCTTCCAAGTGCACTCGTGGCCGTCCACTCCCAATGGCCTGCTTCTGGTCCTCCAGCTCTGCTGCCTGGAAGCAGCATTTGAGACTGTTGCCCTCTGGTGGAGTGCCCTCATTCCTTGGCTCCTGTGACTGGACGGTCTCTCCTGCTTTTCTCCCTACCTTTCTGAGCCCACATCTCTGTGTCCTTGGTTGATCTTGGACTCTGCTCACATAATTAGCACAACACCTACCATTTATTATTTACTGACCTTTTATGTGTTATAATCATCTATACACTTGACTTAAACATTAAACTGCAAACCTGTTAAGGTTTGTTTGCTTGCTTATTTGTTTGTTTAACTTTGTTTTCCCTTTAGCACCTTAAACTTCTTGTATGGCATTTAGTAATCCTCACTATGTATTTAAACAGAGTTATCTTTTGGAATTTCAGGAAGATGTGAAAATGCTCTCCCATCTGCTCCAGGCTTTAGATTGTGGAGCACCCCCTCATGGAGGAATCGCCTTAGGTAAGTAAAATTTCATTCCAATTTGGACTTGAGTTTAGGGGAACTCAGTTTAAAAATTCTCTAAGAAGTAACTTTCAGTTTTAATTTAATTGATTTTTTTTTTGTCTGAAACACGTTCCACATTTTATTTCTATTTTTTAAGACTAACATTCATCTCAAAAATCACACATCCACATTCCTATTTCTTTTTATGTTAGTTTCACTTAAATGTTTGTTAAACAAAGACTAAGAAAATATTTACCATGTCTGTTACCTGTACCAACAGAAATGGCTTTACCAGAAATTCACCAGCTCCTCCCACTTTTTAAATTTATAAATATCAGTATCAAAACAATCCTTAATATATTTCTGAAACTACTAGTCAGCACCCACACTGCTTCAAATATCAACGCAACGGCAACGGCAGTCACTGTACCTGTTGCTTTAAACAATTGTAACTGCAGCGCTTCCATTCAGCAAGTTGGATAACCAGCTTCAGGTGTGGGTATTCTGCAGTGATACTTAATCAAGACATTAACATGAACAGAAGGTTGTTGATATAAAACAAGTTGGAGTCTCTAAAATTAAGTTGTTTTTTTTTGAAACCATGTGCTTTATTTAGTAAAGGTGAAGCTGTAGATACCTATGACTCAGCAATTTCATCTAAAGTATGCATTCCTAGGAAACCCTTGCATATGTACACCAGGATTTATGTACCAGAATATAACAACATTATTTTTAGTAGCTCCTAACTGAGAGAAGCCCAAATATCCATCAATACAGAAGTGAATTCATTATGATTTATAAACGTAGTGGAATACTATACAGCCACGAGACTGAATGAACTATAGCTACATGCATTAGTACCTATAGATTAATCTTACAAATAAAATGTTGATTAAATGAAACTGGGCACCAAAGGGGAAAAAAAAACCTTACATACTTCTATTTGTTTAAAGCTATAAAGTACTGGTACATGAAATGGAATGATACTGTTTTTGTTTAATCATTTTCTTGGGGGGCTCTTACGAATCTTGTAACACTGTCATTCAATAGCATTAAGCACATTTGTACATACGTTGTACAACATTTCCAAAACAACTTCTTTCTACTGGAGCCCTTGGTTTCAGCTCCTCTTTTTGCCCCTTCCTCCCCATAGTCATGATTCTATTGAAAATCACAAGACATCACGAGAGTGGCCACCTCAGGGAGGGTTAGCAAATAGGAACTTTGGTTGAAATTGTTTGGATTGTTTAGATGGAGGTTTTATGGAGGTTCATTTTTTATAATCATTTTGTAAACCATCTTGACATTTTAATATATATATATATTTTAATCATTTTATTAGGGGCTCATACAACTCTTTATCACAATCCATGTACACATCAATTGTGTAAAGCGCATTTGTACATTCATTGCCCGCATCATTCTCAAAACATTTCCTCTCCACTTAAGCCCCCAGCATTAGGTCCTCATTTTTCCCCTCCCTCTCCACTCCCCCCTTCCTCATGAGCCCTTGATAATTTATAAATTGTTATTTTATCATATCTTTCCCTGTCTGACGTTTCCCTTCCCCTACTTTTCTGTTATCTGTCCCCCAGGGAGGAGGTCACTTATAGTTCCTTGTAATCGGTTCCCTCTTTCCTACCCACTCTCCCTCAACCCT